TCGTGGAATCCATGACGGTATTGTGTAACTTGATAAGCAATGATGCTGTTCTCACCATTTTTCAACTTGATTGAGAAGGCATTGAAAATACTTTTGAAGCCCTGAAAAAACCGATTTTCTCTTTCAAATCGCATAAACAATGTGCTGTAACTCAACAAGGAATTGTGCGACCATCATATTCTGATAGAATCAAGAGGGTATTGTTATCAATTTGTTGAGCCATGTCTAATTTAATTTTGACGACCATTTTTGGAATGATCGTTGAAAAATCGATTTTTGGAAAAATATCAGTTTTTTCGAATCCGTATGAAAAATTGAATTTTAATTTATGTCAATGAGGAGAGCTTATTAAACTCTGCATTCATGAAATTCGATTAATCCTTTATATGAAAATATCGAAAAAAAGAATATTTTTAGACCATATTTAGTTACCTCAACACAAAAATCCAATTATCCACTTGTCTTTATTTATGACCGTCATTTTTAGTTGAAAAAATTCTGCTTCACATGACAAATACTATACTGTATTGCTATGGCAATGTATGGCAATATAATATGATACAGTATTTAACAAAATTAAATTTGAATCAATTTTCATATATTCAACGATGATATTGCGATCTCTCTAAAATTCTGAACTCCATGTGTAAACAATTGGCGGCCACGAAAGTAGTTTCAACTAGATATTTTCAATATCACTGGTTTATTCCTTCAGTACTAAAATTCTACACGGTAACAATAATATTTTAATGATAAATATACTTTATTTACAGGCTCAGGGGTCGCGTCACGTGAGATTTAACATCTGAGTTTTTTTTACTTCCATTTCGTTTACTTTCGTTCTTCATGTCGATTAATTAGGACTCAGCATTGGGGGTCGTGGGCTCTTCGACTTTGGATTCAAGGGAAAATGGAGGGATTCTACAGTCGAATGTGTAGCCATCCTCTCTCTCCATCCTGAAGGTTCCCCTGGAATTCAATTTTTTTTTCAATTTTTAATTCTAAAGATTATGGAGATAGTCAAGGTTTTGCATGAAATTTTGAAGTTGTTGAACACGAAAATTGAATGGGGAATTCTAGGCGTATTTTGTCTTATTTTTAAAAATAATAAAGAATTTATAATAAAGAAAAATAAAGAATTTGAAGAATTTATTCATTTAAATAAATTCTTTAAATTCTTTAATAAATTTTTATTTATTTTTATTCATTTTTATTTTTAGTTTTTATTATTCTCCACGATTCTCGTCACAGTGAAATTAATAAATTGTATTGTTCGTTCAATTCTCTATGTACGAACAACTTTGATAGAAAAATCTAACGCTTTTTCCAATAAATTCTATTGAAAGATTCTATTTGTTTTTTTTTGCATCAGTGCTATTAAAAATGACGCGTCTTCCCCCCGAGTTTTTGAATAGATATTTGTTTATATAAAAATGTCAGATGAATTCGGTTGTGATTTTTTCTCAAAGAGTTCTTGGGCATGATTTTTCCAAATTTTTTTCATCGATTTTATTATGAGAATCAAATAAAAATACAGCGGAAAAAAATTTAGAAAATTTATGCCCAAGAATTTCTATAGAAAAATTAAAATCCATTTACTTTTTCCATCGAATAATACTTCCTAACAAAATGACTCGGTAATGTTGCATAATCTCCTATAGCAAAAGCTATAGAAAAAAAACAAATGAAATATTTCAATCGAATTCCAATAGGCCATCAAGGGAATTCTTATGGATTCCCAACAGAAATTGAAATAGAATTTCATAGGGAACGCGTTTTTAGGTTTTTCTAACGAATTGTGTCATGCGTGTCGTATTTGTAATTTTTTAGATTACGAGTTTACAGAGATTAACATACCACATGTGGCCACTGGGGGCTTGCAGACTGACGTGGCTGCTGTACTGAAAAGCCGGAAGAGTTTTTGAAAGTACTGGTTCTTGACCTACGACACCTCTACCACGGACTGTCTCCAGGGTACCAGATAGGCTGAATATTCGCCAGTGTCTCTCTCGGAGTTGTACACTGAGATCTCCCAGATTTTCGAGCCGAATGCAGTAGCGCCACTATAATAGTGCATTATTGTCAATAAACATTTGAAAAACAAAATTCCAATTACATTTTTCCTCATTCTTTAGAAACATTTTCAAGACAACTGAACTTCTTTGCGAGTGAGTTCCCCCTGCATATTGCTGGAGATGGGTAAAATAGTAAATATAAATATAAATAATAATAATAAATAATTACATTATATTATATTAATTATATAATATAATATAATATGATTATTTTATATTATATTAATTTATTTTATTGGATTCTATTGTCATTGTAGTATACAAATTGTGGGAACAATTTTTTTCATTTTCAAATGAAGAGATATTTATGTTAAATAATATCAGTATAATATAATAATTGCTAAAACGAAATTTTTCGTTTTCATGATCTGATTTTATTGAGAGGAAATGAGAAAAAGGCAGGGAGAGATGATCAGCAAGAAAATAAAATTTTGTATTTTTCATTGTCCGGAATGTTTTAAAATTGATATATTTTTTCAAATAATGAAAGAATACCCATCACAATTCAATTTCTACCCGCGCATTTTCATGGAATACATAAAAAAAAAATAGCAAAGAATAAAAAACGGAGATGAACAATTTTATCGGATTAATATAACGTAATTATTAATAATAATTATTATTATTTATAAACATAAATAATAATAAATAATAATAATTTTGAAAAATTGAATAAATAAATAATTAATTGAGAAATTAAAGAAAAAATGAAGAAAAATCACTCAATTAATTTTTTTACGAACCCAATAAACTGATGTAGTTTGGGTTTCTCTGCAGCCCATGTAAAAGGGAATGACAGTGACCCTGATGTTGTCGGTCGTCTCCTTGTGGACATCCGACAGCTCCAACCAGGGATGATTCTTCTCCTGCCATGCCCTGAGTGTCTCCTGCGCCACAAAGGGTGGCTCTCTCCCAGGATGAAAAGTCAAAAATTTGTCGAATAACTCATGCTGCAGAGCGGTCTTGTCATTCGTTGAATAAGGCAATATGTCTTCGTGAGCTACGTAATCCAGACCTGGTATTGCGTACAGACTTCTGCTGCTCTCATTGTTGCCTAGAAATGTCACTGCCTCTGTTTGAGCTCTCTGAAATAAAAGATCAGTTCAACGTAAGCGCGATCAGAGTCTGGGAATGCCTGCAAATGTTGTTTTTCTCTCCCTGGAACTCCATGATTTACTCTTAATTCTTAATCATATTTTATTATGAATACTCACAATAAATGGGCAATCCCTTTGATCAATCAAAACCTGATAGAATGTGTGCGTTCGACCTTTCACTTCTTTTCCAACACTGTTGTAATTATTCTCATCGTCTCTGAAAAATTCCAGGGGTCAATTTATGCACGATTGTATCTTCCAAACTGTTATCTTAATCGACATAAATATAAATAGCTTTTTGTGAATAATTTAATGAGAAATATTTTGTATCGAAAGTTTTTTGTCTTAAAACCAACATTTTCCGAGATATTAAAAAAACATTACAATCTCTCTTTTCATTTGTTTAATCAAATGTTCCGGATAGAATTTTTGTACGAATTTTTGATAGTCCTCTTGAGTCCTCATCTAAAAAACCAACTGAAAAAAAAATTCCTCTAGGAATTTTCTAAACAACAAAACCTCTGACGCCTGGAAATTTTGTTTTTTCAAAGGATGAAGGAGGAATGAAACGGGTCCACTGAACTTTTCTTGAAATTGACTATTGGGTACAGTTCGATTCAGAGAAATGATATTTTAAGGGAATAGTTTAGGGGAATACTTCTTCTTTTCTAAAAAAAGCATGGGGAATATCTCGAATCGAAAATGAGAACTCGAACATGGTGGATATCTCAAACGAATGGAGAAAATAAGGCGGTTTTCATGAGTACAATCGTTTTGCGTCGAATTTTCATGAAGCCCGCCTAACAAACCAAACAGAATTGAATGCCATTCTGTGAAACATGAATAAACGAATCATAATTGTCCAAATCATTTAGGTCAGAGGAAAATAGAATAATTCTACTCTCTTAATATTGCGTTTACTAAGATTTTCTTCGACCAAAGTTAATTAGAATTAATAGCTAGAATTAAGAGATTATCTCACATTTTTGACGTTAAGGATAGGAGAATCTGAATGCAATATAGTGAAAATGATGATCGATTTTTTCACTTTGAACAAATAATATTAATATCCAAATACAAAATTTCTGATATGAATAAAAAGAAGCTGTGACTCAATATTCCAAATGAAGTTTTAATTTTTAATTTGGTGCTGAAAACACGAGATGACAATATTCTAAGCACGGAATTATATTGATGAGATGAACAACAGATTAATTGAATTACCGTGTGAACTAACTAAAAATTGATAACAGTGTGGGCACGCACTTTTACCAGAGTATCAACAAACATTGAATTCCAGAAATTCACACTCTAAAGTGTGTTCTAGAAGGAATTGAATTATAATTATGATTAAAATCTTATTCAGTGAGCGTAGGAATTAGAACATGAGCAAATCATTTATTGTAATAGGCAAATTTAACAGCTGATAAATTGGGACATATGATTTTCTTCGATCGTATTGCTTTCTGCAATGAGAATGATTATAAACAATTAATTTAAAAAATGTAAGCTCATGTAAAATTTTCATATGAAATGCCACATTTTCCTACAAAATTATTTCCGCGAACGTGAACGAGTTTTTCCAAGCATCTCACCCATCTTTCCTATTAGGTAGATCCCTGTCGTAGACTCTCGCAAGCCACGGAAACAGAATAACTCCTCGATATCCAAAAACACGATGGAGTATCAGCTGCCCGGTCTCATACTTCCCCTGTAATTTCGGAGTTTCTAATTTTCCCACTTCTGCCAATCTGAAATAAAAGTCATTCGTCCTCACAATTAAATTCACTTTCTGCTGAATTCACGAAGATAAATCATCCAGTGAAGAATAGTCATAAAAAACAATACTTTCACAGCAAAAAAATTCCATTTTACAGGTTAAATAGGTTGTATTTACGTAATGTTATTTACCTTATGTACTTAGCACTCTGGACACTCAACACTTTATTCGTAACATCTAGCAGACTACTTTTTAATTTACGACTCAAACATATGCGCATTAATTCCATAATCGATCCGAAAATTTGTGAATTTTGTTTATCAACTCCGAAGGGGGTGAACGAAAAGCCGATTTTTCGCTTGTCAGAAGTGACAAGTCACATGGCCGTGGAATTCCACTGGTACTTCCAGGAGGTTTTGATTATTTATATTTCGGTATTGGCTGGATATGTTGAAAATTCACTTGATGCGCAATTCGAAAAATAACACTGCAAACACTGGCAGAGAATGTGCTCAGTAGGAATACACAGAGATACGGCCGGCGTGGTTTACAGCTTTTAACACTGTTTTATGGACTGAGTTGATTGTAAGGAAGAATGTTCGGTGGATAAGTTACCGATGTGAAGGGGCAAAGAGGTTGTTATTGTGACGAAACAAGTACAAATATTTTTCTTTTTTTAAGAGGGACGAGGGAGTGTAGAGATGGGGGTATAGGTTATCTTCCAGAAGAATATCCGTGGATTTTATGAGTGGGGTCCAAGCACGCGAGTGGGAATTACGCAGAGTGGGAAGGACCCCTCGAACCACCCACGGAAGGATAAACTTCTAGTTGGGAGAGACTTCAATCACTAATATAAATGAAGTAGATAAGCTCCGAAAGAAATTGTAAGGGAGGGGGGGGGAGGGGCGTTTGTACTTCCGCAACTGTACACATCCACGACTGTACAGTCGTCAAATTAAGTTCTGGGAGTAACTAGACGTTTTCTGGTAAGGTTGGGTTGCATGGGAGAATGGGATCGAAATGAACGACCCAACCCAACCTCTAGCAACAAACGTCTAGTTACTCCCAGAACTTATTTTGACGAGTGTACTATCAGTTCAAAAACAAAAACAGACGATCTCCTGGAGTGTTCATCATTAAAATAGTTTAGTACCGATGATTGTTATATTTTCATCATGATATTGTTAACTTGTCTGACTATTGAAAGATGCACCAGACGTACATATCACTGGGTTACGAGCTGAGAACCGAATTGTCTTGCAACAATTGAGTTCAAGTTTTCCTTGATTTTTTTGGATGAAGAAAAGTTGAAGGTAAGTAAAATGAAGCATAATATAAACAGAAAAAAAGTTCCCATGTAGATTTAAATCTGTCCTCATTTTTCCTAGAGAACTTGTCCAAAACAGAATGTGTCTATCTGAAATTGTTCAAAAGACCTCCCCCCCCATGAGTAAGCGGGAAAATCCGTGCGCAACATCTTTGCGCACATCAAAAATGGCCGACTAGTCTCGAGGCTTTGGCGTTCGTCTCCGGATTTGATCCGAAATTAAGGGTAAAATCATTAAAATAATTTAAAAAAATGCTATAATTAGTTAACAACGATGAAGAACAATAATTTGATCATCAAATCAACGATTAGTTCGATGAATTGCGGGTGTTGGAACGTAAAAACAAAAATTGCCAGGAGAGAATGGAAAAAATCTCTGCGCAACATCTCTGCGCACATCAAAAATGGCCGACTAGTCTTGAGGCTTTGGTGTTCGTCTTCGGATTTTATCCGAAATCAAGGGTAAAATCATTAAAATAATTCTTAAAAATGCTATAATTAGTTGATAACAATGGACAACAATAGTTTGGTCATGAAATCAACGATTATTCCGATGAATTGCGGGTGTCGGAATGTAAAAACAAAAATTGCCATGAGAGAATGGGAAAAATCTCTGCGCAACATCTCTGCGCACAACAAAAATGGCCGACTAGTGTCGAGGCTTCGGCGTTCGTCTCCAGATTTTATCGGAAATCAAGGGTAAAATCATTAAAATAATACTTTAAAAAGCTGTAATTAGTTTATAATAATGGAGAACAATAATTTGATCATCAAATCAACGATTATTTCGATGAATTGCGGGTTTTAAAACGTAAAAACAGAAATACACATGAGAAAATAAAAACGTCTGCGCAACGTCTCTGCGCAGATTAAAAGTGGCTGCCCTGATGTTCCTTGGCGATGACCGCATATTGTCGAAGAAATTACTCGTAAAATCGCCGAAAAAAATTAACAATCTGATAAGTAATTAATTAATAATAATAATGGACAGCCACAATGGTACAAGGCAATGGTTGCATAGCTCGATAAATTACGAAATTTAAAACGATATGAACGTCTCGAATGGTGAAAATCTGGAATCTCCATGTGACCGACGTATTTGTGACACCACGAGATGACGCCTGGAGGCAATTCTGGACAAATCCAGTGTTTGGACAGTTTTGATACATTCAATGACTCTTTAAAAAATTCAAAACGTGATAAACCTAGTTGATGAGTGAAACCAGTGGACACAGGAATTTATTAGAATGTTAGTGTTGTGAATTGTGATGACGTTTTCTTTTATTAATCAAGTGATAAAGTGCTCGGGAATTTCTTTGTCGATGTGTGTATAAATACGTAAGATGGCAGTTTCAGTCATGTTAGTGCGGTTTTTAATTTCGAAAGTGTTTAGTGCATGTGATCTGCACGGGGACGAGCTTCTGGAGGCATTGGAGAGCATATCGACGTCTAGATGAGGATTTCAACGCCCGGTGAGTCACTAAAATTTACAATTGAAAGTTGACATTTTTCAACCGTGAATATCTCGAGAATGACTGGCGCGATTTCAACAAATTTTATTTCATTTCATGAAAGCACTGAAATGATTCTATTTTTTAATTTTCGAATTTTGCTTGGAAATGATGTAAAATGGTCTAAAACGTAAAAATCCAAAGTTTTACGGCCATGCGTGTATGAGCGACTGTGCACCTCTGGTAGTCAACTGTTAGAATATTGACAAATTAAAGGACCAACCAATTTCAAAATTTTTCAAATTTTGTCAGGATATAGGTATGAAAAAGGATTTTGTGCTAAGGTGCTGCCCAATCGGGCCAGCTGTTTTGGAGAAATCTCCATTCGTTTCTAAATCGTTTTTTACAAATTTTTCGAAAACTGTCTAACAGATTTCAATAATTTTTTTTTCAAAATATTCGTCTCAATGTCCTCTATTTTAATCGATCAAGATATGCATACCCGTTCAGGCAAAATTTCCAAGATATCGTAATTGTTCGGTTTTTCGCTCAAAATGCTTGTGCGTACTCTAACTTTTGGAAAAATCGACATATTAACTTCTAATTGGGCATGCTCCCGGTTTTCATTAGAGCAGTAAATTTCTATAGTCAACTTGATGGGGCGGGAAGGGGCCCGTTTAACCGTGAAGAAGAACGATCGGAATGATGATCGGACTCGTTTATGAATGTTATTACGAAGTAAAGGCGTCATATGCCATTTGGGTTCCTTATAAGCTAATAAAATATGAATTAAATTAATTTTTTTTGGCGATTTCGTTTTTGGCGACTATCTGGGAAACTATGAGAGATAGAGCCTTAAAGCCTATTCCATTCGCTTCCTGAGGAAATTTGGGTTCCTCAGGGAACTCAAATAGAAATTGGAATAGGTTTTAAGGCTCTATCTCTCATAGTTTCCGAGATAATCGCGAAAAACGAAAGTGCCAAAAAAAATTAATTTAATTCATCTTGTATAAGGCCTAGGAAGTGGAAAAACGCAATTCTGAGCCGTCCACCTGCCTATAGGGAACCCAAATTTCCTCAGGAATCGAATGGAATAGGTTTTAAGGCTCTATCTCTCATAGTTTCCGAGATAATCGCGAAAAACGAAAGTGCCAAAAAAAATTAATTTAATTCATCTTGTATAGGGTGTAGGAAGTGGAAAAACGCAATTCTGAGCCGTCCATCTGCCTATACGGAACCCAAATTTCCTCAGGAATCGAATGGAATAGGTTTTAAGGCTCTATCTCTCATAGTTTCCGAGATAATCGCGAAAAACGAAAGTGCCAAAAAAAATTAATTTAATTCATCTTGTATAGGGTGTAGGAAGTGGAAAAACGCAATTCTGAGCCGTCCATCTGCCTATACGGAACCCAAATTTCCTCAGGAATCGAATGGAATAGGTTTTAAGGCTCTATCTCTCATAGTTTCCGAGATAATCGCGAAAAACGAAAGTGCCAAAAAAAATTAATTTAATTCATCTTGTATAGGGTGTGGGAAGTGGAAAAACGCAATTCTGAGCCGTCCATCTGCCTATACGGAACCCAAATTTCCTCAGGAATCGAATGGAATAGGTTTTAAGGCTCTATCTCTCATAGTTTCCGAGATAATCGCGAAAAACGAAAGTGCCAAAAAAAATTAATTTAATTCATCTTGTATAGGGTGTAGGAAGTGGAAAAACGCAATTCTGAGCCGTCCATCTGCCTATACGGAACCCAAATTTCCTCAGGAATCGAATGGAATAGGTTTTAAGGCTCTATCTCTCATAGTTTCCGAGATAATCGCGAAAAACGAAAGTGCCAAAAAAAATTAATTTAATTCATCTTGTATAGGGTGTAGGAAGTGGAAAAACGCAATTCTGAGCCGTCCATCTGCCTATACGGAACCCAAATTTCCTCAGGAATCGAATGGAATAGGTTTTAAGGCTCTATCTCTCATAGTTTCCGAGATAATCGCGAAAAACGAAAGTGCCAAAAAAAATTAATTTAATTCATCTTGTATAGGGTGTAGGAAGTGGAAAAACGCAATTCTGAGCCGTCCATCTGCCTATACGGAACCCAAATTTCCTCAGGAATCGAATGGAATAGGTTTTAAGGCTCTATCTCTCATAGTTTCCGAGATAATCGCGAAAAACGAAAGTGCCAAAAAAAATTAATTTAATTCATCTTGTATAGGGTGTAGGAAGTGGAAAAACGCAATTCTGAGCCGTCCATCTGCCTATACGGAACCCAAATTTCCTCAGGAATCGAATGGAATAGGTTTTAAGGCTCTATCTCTCATAGTTTCCGAGATAATCGCGAAAAACGAAAGTGCCAAAAAAAATTAATTTAATTCATCTTGTATAGGGTGTAGGAAGTGGAAAAACGCAATTCTGAGCCGTCCATCTGCCTATACGGAACCCAAATTTCCTCAGGAATCGAATGGAATAGGTTTTAAGGCTCTATCTCTCATAGTTTCCGAGATAATCGCGAAAAACGAAAGTGCCAAAAAAAATTAATTTAATTCATCTTGTATAGGGTGTAGGAAGTGGAAAAACGCAATTCTGAGCCGTCCATCTGCCTATACGGAACCCAAATTTCCTCAGGAATCGAATGGAATAGGTTTTAAGGCTCTATCTCTCATAGTTTCCGAGATAATCGCGAAAAACGAAAGTGCCAAAAAAAATTAATTTAATTCATCTTGTATAGGGTGTAGGAAGTGGAAAAACGCAATTCTGAGCCGTCCATCTGCCTATACGGAACCCAAATTTCCTCAGGAATCGAATGGAATAGGTTTTAAGGCTCTATCTCTCATAGTTTCCGAGATAATCGCGAAAAACGAAAGTGCCAAAAAAAATTAATTTAATTCATCTTGTATAGGGTGTAGGAAGTGGAAAAACGCAATTCTGAGCCGTCCATCTGCCTATACGGAACCCAAATTTCCTCAGGAATCGAATGGAATAGGTTTTAAGGCTCTATCTCTCATAGTTTCCGAGATAATCGCGAAAAACGAAA